CGTGAACCTGGGAGGCGGAGCTTGCAGTGAGCTGAGATCGCCCCACCGCACTCTAGCCTGGGCGACAGTGCGAGACAACGTCTCAAGGAAAAAAAAAAAGAAAGGAAAAAAGAATGTTATATAAATGGAATTACACAGTCTATAACCTTTTGGGATAGTTTTGACTTTGTTTTTTCACTCAACACAAATACCTTGAGGCGAATCCAGGTTGTTGTGTGGCAGTATTCATTTATTTTTATCGCTAAGTAGTAGTACATGGTGTGGACGTACCGAAATTTGTTTAACCATTCACTCATTGAAGGATATCTGATTTGTTTCCAGTTTTGGGCTATTATGAATTAGGCTTCTGTGAGTATTTATATACAGATTTTGAACATGTTTTTATTGCCAAGACTACAATTGCTGGGTCAAATGGTAAGTCTGTGGTTTGCAATTTACTTTTAAAATTACCGGATAAAAACCTTCTACCGGCCGAGCACGCGCCTGTAATCCCAGCACCTTGAGAGGCTGAGGTGGGTGGATCACCTGAGGTCAGGAGTTCAAGACCAGCCTGGCCAACATGTTAAAACCCTGTGTCTACTAAAAATACAAAAATTAGCCGGATGTGGTGGCACATGCCTGTAACCCCAGCTACTTGGGAGGCTGAGGCAGGAGAATTGTTTGAATCTGGGAGATGGAGGTAGAAGTGGGCCAAGATGGTGCCACTGTACTTCAGCCTGGGAGATAGAGTGAGACTCCATTTCAAAAAAAAAAAAAACAAAAAACAGGTTGTTTTTTGTTTTTTTTTTTGGTGAAAAGCATCATTTTACAGTTCTTGTAAAGCTGTCTGTCTCCTAGAACCTAGTGTCTCTGTAGGTAGTTTGTATTGCATTAAGAATTCTGTATGACAGCTGGCAGAAATCCAACACCTGAATTATCACAGGGTACTTTCCTTTCCAATCAAAAAGTACACTTGGGCTTTCTAAGTATTGGACCTGGTATTTTTCTTTTTTGGTATTTTATCTTTAGTTTTGATGTTGTAGTAAATGTTTGCCTTTTATTTTCTCTTTTTACAGCGGCTATGTGACTATGTTTGTGACCTCCTCTTAGAAGAGTCAAATGTTCAGCCAGTATCAACACCAGTAACAGTGTGTGGAGATATACATGGACAGGTAAAATTTCATGAGCAGATTTTTAAGCTTTGTACTGTCCATGATCCATGTGTGTTTTCACATGTGCTACAAAATTAACAACAACATCAACAAACACAACTGGTGGTAAGCTAGGTTGCCTCAGTCTCTGTGACACTAATGATTCCTGGTTTACATTTTTGGTGAATAAAAGCAGTGGTCAAATTAGTTATGGAGTTTCACAAATGTAAAGTGAATAATGCAGCATTATTTTTCTGTGGAATGGTGGGAGTGGGTAGAAAATAAAAAGTACAAACATATACTGCTCATAATAACTATGATTAACAGGAGATATTTTGGTGTTAGGCACTTTTTTCATTCAGTTAATTTCTGTTCTGCTGTCATATATTGTTGAAAATGTATCATTTCTTTAGTGGGAATGAGAATAGCAAAGGTACAGAAAAATAAAATTGCTGGTCCATGATGTCACAGCAAATCACTGATGAATGAACTGGAAAATATTTAGTTCAATTTCTCATCTGCTGGGTGTTTGTTTGTAAGAATTTCAAAGCAGTGCCTGGCGTGGTGGCTCATGCCTGTAATTCCAGCACTTTGGGTAGCTGAGGCTGCTGGGTCGCAAGGTCAGGAGTTTGAGATCAGCCTCACCAACATGGTGAAACCCCGTCTCTACTGAAAATACAAAAAAATTCGCTGGGCATGGTGGCGCGTGCCTGTAATCCTAGCTACTCGGGCTGAGGCAGTAGAATCGCTTGAATCTGAGAGGCGAAGGTTGCAGTGAGCCAAGACCGCACCACTGCACTCCAGCCTGGGCAACAGAGTGAGACTCTGTCAAAAAAAAATTTTTTTTTCAAAGCATTAACAGGAGGGGCATACCTCATATTTAGATCCTATTGTCAGTGTTTAGCCTCATGTATATTTGTAGAATTTTTTCACTGGGAAATGAAAGCTGAACAGATTACTCATAGAGTGCTATATGCATACACTATAGTTGGGGCTGTAAGACTTAGTAATACATTGCAAAACAATGTAGTCTTTAAAGGATGCCAACAGGACTTACGGTCGCCTGTGCAATTTCCCTGCCTTAAATATGACTATGTAAATGAGCAGAAATGTGTGTAAATTGGCTCTGATTAGAGACTGCTCCACGAGTAAAGTCTTGTTTTGGCTACTTACAGGCTGATTTTTTGGTTTTTCAAGGTGTTTTCTGCATCAGTTGAGATTAAAAAAAAATCTGACACTTGCATGTCATCACCTCCTAGATAGAGGTCCCATTATGTCATCTTTAATCTGTTAAAATTACAGTTTTTTAGAGTAGACTTTAGGAATTGATTTCCTAAAATTTCCGTGTAACTTCTCCCTAAAAATAAACATTTGTATTTTGCTAACATAAAGGATATTAATATAAGCAGTGTTTTAACACATTCCTGAAAACTGGAATAAACCAAGTCATGTTTTCCCTTAGTTGTAGTGTTAAAACTGAGGGGTTACCTGTGTTATCAAGGACTTTTTAAGATGTGAATTACAGCCATGATCAAAGGTCAGAAAGTTAGAGACCAACCTCGAGCTACTAAAATTAGAAGCATAAGATTGAACTTTTGTATTATATATACCTTCAGTCAAATGTAGAGTTATTGCTAACATTTATCTTGTGTTTTGAGGTTAACAAAGTACTTTTTCACATATTCTGCATCAGTTTTTTCCCAAGAGTCCTATGAGATAGTATTATTTTGTAGACAATGAAAGGGAGACTGAAAGATTGAAGAAATAGCCCAAACTCACACACAGCCACTGCAGGACAGATTGAGGTTTGAAACTAATTTGGGTTTCTGTTGTACATGTTATTTTAAGACCACCACCAAACTGTTAACAATTGTTTATGTTGTATATGTTCCTTAAAAACAATTGCACCAGGCGCGGTGGCTCACGCCTGTAATCCCAGCACTTTGGGAGGCCGAAGCGGGCAGATCACAAGGTCAGGAGTTTGAGACCAGCCTGGCCAACATGGTAAAACCCCGTCTCTACTAAAAATACAAAAATTAGCCAGGCGTGGTGGTGCGTGCCTGTAATCCCAGCTACTCGGGAGGCTGAGGCAGGAGAATCGCTAGAGACTGGGAGGCGGAGGTTGCAGTGAGCCGAGATCGTGCCATTGCACCCCAGCCTGGGCAAGAGAGTGAGACTCCATCT